AGGAAACATAGGCTCGCATTTTCTCCAGGCCTGAGGTTTCCCTGATAATCAACTCCCCGCAAAATCTACAGGCATGAGGACCTTATGGTTCACAGGTCTGGACCCCATCCTGGCTGTTCTATCTCTTAACTATAAACCTTGGAACTTTGCCCTTAGTCCCAGGCCTAAATCCGATCGTTTCCCTCTTGGCTTTGTGAGACAATTGATAAGGCAGAATAATCTGCCTCGTAGGCTGCAGCCGTTGGCTGGCCCTGACAATAGAAGAAAGATTACCTAAATCAGAGAGTTCAAAGAAGGAGGTATGTGGGAAGGAACCAGTGAATCTGGCGTCCTTTGTTTCTCTGGACTCTCAGGTGTCCTAGTTTTATTCACTGTTGTGTTTCCCATCTCCTTGCTTTTCATGCTAATGTTAGAACAGGGTGGACATTCTGGGTTTTGCAATTCTGCAAGAAGCATGACTAACTGAGCCTCAGCAATCTTGCCACAGGCAGAGGGGTCTCTATTAACAAAGTTGTATATTGTCCCCTTTCTCCTTTCAGCCAGGTCAGCTCAGATCAAAGCTTGTCTCTGTTTTGTAAGACCTTATTAAAAGCTGCAAGAAACAGCCAATATTTTCCAGCATCCTGATATTTTTCTACCACATTTCCTAAAGCTCCAGCTTCAACAGACATTTGGTCTGAGACAGCTAAGCTGCAGTAAGAGAGTTTAACCAGCTATGTCACTATCACATAACAAGGAAAGAGGGCTTCTCACTCAGCCAATTTCACATTTTGGAGTGTCTACCCTTTTAAATCTTGATTTGACTCAAAAGTCCTTCTTTCTCTCTTATTTTTAGAAACATGCAATAATTTGCAGTGCAATGAAATGTAGAATTTAATTGGGCTTTAAAATTTAAAACCTTTTTCAAGGCTACTAGACAGTGATGAACTTCGCAGACAGATTGACTTGTAATCAAGGTCCTACAGAGAATGTAGGATGGCGATAAGGGCTGGGAAGAAAAATGAAGCCAGGAAGAGGAGTACGGTAGAGGGGTGAAGTCTTAAAAAGGGTGTCACTATGAAGGTGACATTTGAATAAAGACCTGGATGAGGTAAGGTTGCAAACCACACAGGTATCTGGGGGAAGAATATTCCCAGGAGAGAGAAGAGCCAAGTGCAATTGTCCTCATGCTGGAGCAAGCCTGGGCTGCTTGAGGAGCAGCAAAAAGGACAACATGATTGAAGCTAAGCGAGTAAGTGGAGACTGGCAGGATACACATAATTTACTTAACAATTTCCTTATTTGGGGGCATTCAGGCTATTTCCAATATTTTGATTTTATAAATGATTTTGCACTCAACATTTCGTAAATTATTTCTTTAGTATAGACTCCTATAATTGGTAATCCGGGATTAAATGGATTGAAGTTCTTGATTCCCATAATGCCAAATTGGTTTCCTGAAAAATTGTAGAGTTTCCACTTCTACCAAAAATGTGTGAATGTACTCATCTCATCCTTCATTGTGAAGCTGGGTACCTGAGGGGTATTGTAGATATTAAACCAATTTGCTGTTTTTCCTCTTTAACTTGAGGGGTGACTCAGAGGTCTCAAGGATTTGTGAGCTTGTTTTGCAGAAGAAAGAGAAAGCCTTTGGGGAGGTTGCCATCACAAAATGGCCGGCCCTCAGCAGCCACTGAAGCCCAGAAGTCAGATTGCCCAGTGGCTTATCAAGAATGACCTCTTTGTTTCCCTGAAGCTCCTCCTGCCAAGCCCCTTAGCTCCATAAAAACCCCCTGCTTTCTGTCCTTGGTGAGCTGGATATGAGTGAACCCAGGCTCCCACCTACTCATTTTGGCCAATTCGAATAAATCTTTCCCCATGTCCAAGCACCGATGACTCAGTGTTTGGCTTGCTGGGCATCAGGCACATGAACCTGAGATTAAGAGGTTAAATTAAACCTTTGTCTTCGATGGGCAAAAATGGTAATGCATTGTAGTTTTCATTTATAGTTCCTTGATTACTAATTAAGTTGAACTTTTTCATATGTTTATTGACCAGCTAGAATCCTTGTTATGCACTGTTTTTCATAAATTTTACACATTTATCTACTTCGGCATTAGTATTTTTCTTATCAATTCCAACAATCTCTTTGGTAAGCCTATGGTCTTAGTCACTTTGGGCTGCCATAACAAAGTACCATAGACTGGGTGGCTTATAAGCAATAGAAATTTATTTCTCATGGTTCCAGAAGCTGCAAATCTGAGATCAGGGTGCCAGCATGGTCAGGTTTGGGTGAGAACTTTCTTCAGGGTTACAGACTGCTGACTGCTCGTTGTATCCTCACAGGGCAGAAAGAGAGCAAGCTAGCTTTCTGGCCTCTTCCTATAGCACACCAATCCCATCATGGGGGCTCTATCCTCATGACCTAATTATCTCCCAAAGCTCTACCTCCAAACACCATCATATTGGGGATTAGATTTCAACATATGAATTTTGGGGGAACACAAACATTCAGTCCATAACACTTATGAAATCTCATGTGTTGTTTTTGCTGGATCTCCCAAAATAATACACAGAAGCAAGTCAAGATCATGAATATTCTGCTTGTCATCCCTGCTCCATCACCGTAGTGGGAGCCTCCAGCCAGGCACTGTGGTGTGTAAGAATTCAGGCTCGTAGAACAAGAACTAGCCGCTACGTTTTGTCTTTCCCTCCTGAGGCCAGCAAAACATCCTGTCTCCTTCCTCCAACTCACTTGCTGTAACTCAGCTCCTTCCTATACAGGTTCCACTCTGTTGGCTGTTCAAATCATTAATCGATGTTTTACAGCAGTCTATCTCGTTATAACGTGATTTTTTTTCCACAGTGAGGGTCTTGTTTCTATGGTGACGTAAGAGCGAGCCTGTGCAGAGGTGTTGCGACTGGAAGCCTTCACTTGCTTTGAGAGCCAGTTAAAGCTGATTGAAGTAAAGGGTCAGTGGAGACCCTGAACGTGCCCCACAGAGGCCAAAATTTTGCAGCAAAGTTAAGGGTCAGTAGGAAAGCATGAAGAACTCCTTTCTTGTCATTGTAATTGCCTGGTATAGGCATGAAACTTTTCACACCCATCTAAATTAACTTTACATATGCAATGATATTTTTCATGTATCGCCTTAGACATTTAGTCTGAGACAACGTGGACAACTTTTTAAAACCACTTTGTCAAAGAAAAAGAATGTATTATATGGCAGCTACAGAATGCAAAGGATTACTGAAAAGCTTTCTCTATAAGTGACAGAGAATTTAAGCCTTTTTTTTTCATGTGAAAGGTAAACAGGGCCGGCCCCGTGGCTTAGCAGTTAAGTGCGCGAGCTCCGCTGCTGGCAGCCCGGGGTTCGGATCCCGGGCGCGCACCAACGCACCGCTTCTCTGGCCATGCTGAGGCGGTGTCCCACATACAGCAACTAAAAGGATGTGCAGCTATGACACACAACTATCTACTGGGGCTTTGGGGGGAAAAAATAAAATAAATAAATAAAATTAAAAAAAAAAAAAGAAAGGTAAACAAATCATAGAAAGGGAGAAGTTCTGCAGCATAATTAATAAAAAGGGTTCTACTGCAAAGTCTAACAGCCTCTCCTTTTCGTTTACCCCTGCATGCAATAAATCAGAGGTAAAGTATAATTTTCAAAAAAAAATAATATCATGACTCTCATACAAATACAAAATGAACGAATGTCAAAATTTTATTCAACTCATTAATTAATGATAGAATCAATAAAATGTTATGACCAATTCAAGGAACATTTGAGAAGCTAGGTATTTATAGGAAATGTTAGCATAAGATTTGGGGGTTAGATACAAAACTGATTAATGTCCAACAAGACAATAAACAATAACCTTTGGGATCATCTGTTCTAATAGATAGAAAGTATTTGCATCTCTAACAGACAGTAATATACACATTAACCTTTGCTCAGAGATGATAAAATGTCAAGACCAACAATGCGTTGAAAATATTCTGCCAGTTCTTCTGCCTCTTTCCAAGTTTCAAATGAGTCTTCTGACATAGAGTGAAAGCAGTTTTGTAAGGGATAGAGGAGTTACAGTGGCCCTGGAAATGAGGAAGCCAAAAAGTCAGAAAAGGGCTCTGGGAACCCACAAACTATTCCTCCTGATTCAGGAAGAGGAATGACTCTGTCAACAGCCTCCCAAACCAGGAGTGAGCTAGTACCTACTGAACTGCCCCACTTGGCCTTTCTGCCAGTCCCTGTCCCCAAAGGAAGCAGAGTAATAAAGGCACAAAGAGGAAGAAGCCATCAGGTGAGCTTCCTTCTCCCTGACACTGGAGGAAATAATTGCACGGAACACCTGCTCCAGGCAAAGAGCCCACAGCCAATAGCAGAGTCCCAAACACAAAATGCATGAAAAAGACCTCCCATGGCTTCACAGGCTCTCTGAGATCTATGGGGCCAGATGTGGTAGACCACTTGCTCTAGCTTCATTTTGCTACTGGAAGAATTGAAGAAACAAATAAGAGAATAACTGACAGCTCAAGGACTCCAAGGAGGTGGGAAGGGAAGTTCAGCTAGAGCAGAGGTGGGAGCTGCCTTGGATTATGGTGGAATGGAGGAGGACACCCTTCACTGATGGTAGGGAGTGAGGAAAGGAGAGAACCTCTCACAGACAGATTCACAAGGTAGTGGGAGGGACAAGTTAGGATTCCCAGGTCATTGTTCCTGCCTCCTCTATGAAAATGGAGGGTGAGGTGGTGAGGAAGTGGGCTTGAGAAGATTGATGTTATGGGCTGAACTGTGTCCCATCTGCCAAATTCATACAATAAAGTTCTAACCCCTAGTACCTCAGAATGTGACTATATTTGAAGAGATGGTCTTTAAAGAGGTAATTAAGGTTAAATGAGGTCATTGAGGTGGGCCCTGATCCGATAAGATTGGCGTCCTTATAAAGAAAGGAGATTAGGACACAGACGTGCACAGAGGAAAGACTATGTGGCAGCCAGCTACAAGCCTCAGACTTTTAACCTCTGGAACTGTAAGGAAACAAATATCTGTTGTTTAAGCCACCCACTCTGTGGTACTTTGTCATAGTAGCCCCAGCACACTAATACAATTGGCGGAGGTTTAAATACATGTTGAGGGGAAAAGGAGACTGTAGTGAGTAAGACCATGTAGAAAGATTGCCAGTTGATATTAAAAGTCAAAATTATATAGGAAACCATGATTTTTAGTGTATTTCTCCAGTTTTCCACGATAACCTAGCTGTAGAAGAAAAGACATTTGGATTGATCAAGCACAAGTGTTCTCCCAAAGGGATACAGTGGAAAAGCAGTGAGAAAAATAACTGAGGGCACTTACAAGACAGTGATGGAAGTGAGATATTGTGCAATCTAGACTATACAAAAAAGGAAATAAAGAGGGAGGGGAGTGACATATTAGAACAAAATGGAGGGGTCAGAGAACAGGAATTCTCCATAACATTGACAAGCTGATGTAAGAGGAAATAGAGCAAAAAGCGGTGGAAGAACAGGAATTTATGGCTAGAGAGTAGGATGTGCACATTTAATATATCAAGATGGAAGAAACCTGGGTGATAACCAGTCTAAGTTACCACTATATTTAAGAGTGTCTGAGGTGAAGTTGGGCTGAAGGTCACTGGAACCGAGGATGTCAAAGAATTGAAAGGGTAGATATTGAATTAGGTGAACAATGAAGTCACCCAGATTGAGGGTGGGACTTGGAGCAAAAAGGAATCTTGTGAGCCGGTTTTCCAGGAATGAGGGGAACGGAAGCAGGCTGGTCATTTAGCAAGTGTTAATGGAGCACTTACCATGATCTGGATTCCAGGGATAGAGCAAAAATTAAGATAAATGATCCTTGTGATCCTGGTGGCCTTCCAGTGGAGGTACTCACACTCTGGTGAGGAAATGGAGCACGCTAACAAGGAGGGGTTGAAGGATGAAAGCACGAACCTATGAGCAGACATTTATAAATCACAGCAAAGGAAGACTGGATTGGACGTGGCATTGGGGAACTAGGAGAACATGGTGCTCCTGAATCCACGAGGATATAAGCCCCATCATGGCACCTAGAGATAATATCTTTCTCATTCACCACTCTATTCTCAGTTCTACATAGAAAATGCCAGACACATAATAGGAGTGCAGAATATTTGTTAAATGATGGATGAATGAGTAAATGAAGTCAAGGGGAAGGTGGGGCATCAGAGAAAGAAAAATCACCTCCAATCCAGAACTGAAAGTGTTTCATCTATTTGTGATACTCCCTAAAATGACCTCTATTAGGTTAATGAGCCTAGAACAAGATTTCCTCAGTCTGAAATGTGAGCAGAAGAATCACTGAGCCAGAATGAAAGATGGCGGTTAATTCATATTTATTGAGCACCTCTTATATGCAAAATATTCATGGCTATGAACAAGACTGACAAGGTGTCTGGTCTTAAGGAACCTACATTTGAGTGAATAAGAAGTATAATAAACAAGCAAACACTCAAATAAAAATGATAAGTTCAAAGAGTAAAGGTGTTGTAAAGAAAACAAAACAGGATGATGTCATAGAAAGTGACTGGGGTGAGAGCAACGTTACATAAGATGGTCAAAGGAAAGTATTTTGGAGGAGGAGCTATTTGATCTGAGACCTGAAAGATAAAAACAAAACAACCCTCAAACAGATATGGCAAAGGAGTGTTCCAGGCAAAGGGAAAGGCATGTGAAAAGATGTTGTTTGAGGAACTATAAGAAGGTCAATGTGACTGGAGCACGGTGACTGAGAGGGAGTGTGGTGGGAGACGAAATCAGAAAGGAAAGCAGAGACAAGACTATCTAAGACTTGAGAGATGAAAGAATTTGTAGCTTCACTAAAATCTGTTTTCCTTTTCTTCCTGGGCACACAGATAGCACATATTTCCCAGCCCTCCTTAAAGTTAAATATAGCTTGAAATTTCCACAGATGAAAAATATAGTATCTTAAATGTAAATATTTATAGCAAATTAGGCACCAAAGAAGAAAAGATCAGTGAAATTGAAGGCATAGCAACAGAATCCACCCAAAATGAAGCAGAGAGAAAAAAGGCTGGAAAAAGTTAACAGAGCTTCAGTAACCTGTGGGATAACATGACATGGTATAACACACATGTAATTGGAGTATCTCCCATAACGAGAGGAGAGAACACAGATGTTTACAGCAGCTTTACCATAATTGCCAAAACTTGCAAGCAAGCAAGATGTCCTCCAGTAGGTGAATGGATAAATAAACTGTAGTACCATCAGTCAATAGACTATTATTCCATTGTGCTATATTCATACAATGAAATACCACTTAGCAATATAATGGAATGAACTACTGATATATCCAACAACAAAGATGAATCTCAAATCATTATACTGAGCAAAAGAAGCCAGACATAAAGTGTATATGCATATGATTCTATTTATATAAAACTCTAGGAAAAAAACTAATCAATGGTTGCCTTGGGCTGGGGGTAGGGGTGTCAGATGGGCTGGGGTACAAGAAAACTTTGGGGGGCAATAGAAATGTTCAATATTTTAATTGTTATGATTTAAAAAAATTTAATTTACATGTATGTAAAAATTTATTAACACAATGAAAAGTTTACTTGAAATGGGTCTGTTTTATTGTATATAAGCTAAATAACAATAAATAATAAGCTAAATAGATTTTTTTAAAGAAAAGATATGATGATAATGTTGATATTCTCAAACTGGATAATTGAGGAGATTTTAATAAAAAAGTATTTATAAAAGAATGGACAGGGTTCGGAACATCCAACAAGGTATAGTGTAGTACACCAGAGCCAGCAGCAGCAGGGAACCATTACCACTCATAGGCCTGAAGGGACAAGAGGAGAGAGTACTTATGGAAACCAAGCTGCTTGTCAGGCTGTTGCCTGGCAAGGGCTACAGCCTTTGGTGGAGAGAACAGCCCAATGTGGCGACCAGATGAGAAGGGAGCCTGAGAAATAAATTCCCTGACATTATACTCGTCCCACCCTCCAGTCTCCTGCTAGTGCCTCCTGTTGACCAAGCCCAACTGGAAGCCAGATGTCAAGGGAGCCTATCAAAGCAGTCCCAACAGCTCTGCCTCCCAGAATACAGAGAAGAATAGAGAATTATGGATAGTGGATCTGGACAGGCAGATGGAAAGCATCCAGCATCAATTTCCAATTTCATGGGAAAAGACTGAAGGAAGGAGGGAGAGGTGAAAGTCTTAGGGATGAGAGACTGTGATAAGCGAAGGGACTAATCCAGGGATGAGGCTTCTAGCTCAAGGGAACTGCTCAGACATCACTAGCCAAACAGGGGTGAGCCCAGATTAAAAGTTTCCATGTGTTTATTTCCAAATGAAAAGTTTCAACCATCTTGCCTTCCTTCTCATTTTCTGAGTAAGTTTCCCTATATGGCCCAGGACTGTAAAGACACCCTAAGGCTCCCCCCCCCCATATTCCCCACCCCACTCCCCAGTTTTCCACCAAGGACCATGGCCCCACTGTTTTAACCAGTCTGCTTCACAGCTTAGGGGAGTAGCCGGCCACCACAATGTTCTCCCCTGTGATGCAGCTGGCATCTGAAGAGCAGAGGAAGGACACAATCCCCGCACATTCTTCAGGCTCCCCAAACCTGAAGGGAAGAGAGCAGAGCTGAGGTCGCAGCCCACGCAGTGCCGAGCTCCAACCTCAGGTTCTGCTGGCCCAGAGGTGGGTGGAGCATGACCTCCATAGTTCAATACCTCACAGGATTCCAGTCAAATCAGGCTCCAGGGAGGGCCACTGTGGGCTCAGCAGGACCACTCCCACCCTCTAGCCCCCAGGCCCAGGACTGTGCTGTCCTCAGATTTCAGCAAGGGAACAGCCAGTAGACTGGGAAAAGATTAGGGCTCTGTCTCTTCTTGAAATTGAACTTTCCTTCAAAGTAGAAACCATTAAAACTCCAAACCCCACCTACCGCTGCAATCCATAGATTTCATTCAAGTCAGGTAGCAAGTATGGCAAAGTTTTCTCCTGAGAAAAGATTTCAGAGTCAATGTTAGGCAGAAGGTCTGTTGGTGGGGGTAGGGGAAGAAGGGTGGATGGGAAGAGCATCATGGCAGACGGATGCCTCTGTGGGAGGATGACCCTGTTCAGGAGAGAGAGGTGGGGCAGAAGAGACTCCATTCTTCTGCAGGGAAGTGAGAGGCTGCTGGTCCCAAAGGCTGCAGGGCAGAGCCTCTGAATGATGGGCCTGGGCTGGGTCTCCAACTTGAGTGTGCTGTCTCTGTGGGCCTTGGGAGTCTGACCAGGGAAGGCACCAGTGGGGACCACGGGGCAGAGGATGGGGAGCAGGAGCTGTCTGTGATCCTTACCACTTGGATAAAGTCAGTCTTGATTATTCCTGGCACCAGGCAGTTCACTCGGATGCCTTTTGGGGCCAACTCCACAGCCAGAGACTTACAGAGGCCCAACAGCGCTGTTTTGCTGGTATTGTAGACTCCCAGCTTCTGAAAAGGAGAAAGAAGTAGACAAAATGGACTGGAATTGGGAGGAGGGAACGTTACCCAAACAGCCAGAGCTGTGACTCTGGGTCTCAGACTAAGAAACTATGCCTGACTTTAGCCCCAAACTAAAATTCCTTACCCCACCCCACCACTCTCCCCACCCCACAATAATTTTCAAGGAGTGAAGTTCTGAGATGGAGGGCCTCCTCTAAGCTTAGAGAAATGTTGAGAAGTCACCGCCATGTGCATCCAAGCTTGACACAGAGAAAGCTGCACTGTGCTTTTAAACATTCAGTCAGGAAACCAGATTTAGGAAAATCCAGGACTCGGATCTTGCTCTCCCACAAACTGACTGTGCTTACCCTGGGCAAACGGCTTAACATCCTCGAGTTTCAGAGATGTTACGGCAAAGTGAGCTTATAATGCCAGATCTGTAGCGGTCAGGGTGCTGTGCTGGCGTTACACACCTTAATTCCATAGCTGTGATCAACAGCCTGTTCTCCCACACCCCACAGTAGGGACCCACAAGAAACCAGACTCAGCTGCCCCTCACCCAGCCCCCATCCAGAGGATTTTACAATCACTG